GCAACTTCACTCCGCGGAGCAACCCCAGCCCCGCCCCGACGGACCACTCGCTCTCCGGAGAGCCGCCGGCTGGCGGCGCCCAGGAGCCCGCCCACGTCCAGGACAACTGGCTGCTCAACAGCAACATCCCCCTGGAGACCAGGTGCGGGCCGGGGAATGCTGGGGAGGGTGGCCGGAGGCTGGCTTCGGAGACCCAGGATCTCCAGCGACCAGTTAGGGGGTCCCTTCCACCGACCCTGTCCAGGCAACAACAGCTGGGCCTCTCAAGACACTGGCACTCTGATTGCTAGAGAAGTGGAGTGCAGGGCGGGATGAGCGAACAGAATCGAAAGGCTCCGAGGGTCCACCCATGGCCTACCGTTCCCTAAAGGTAGAATGTTGACCGAGTCCCTTCCCTTCCCACCTGGACAAACGACAGCGAGGCTGGAGAGGGCTGCTGTGTGCGGGTGTGGCAGCCACACACAGCGACCAGGAACAGTGTTCCATCTTGCGTTTGGACCCTGCTGGAGAAGCGTGTTGATCCCACTGCCAGCTTGGCCTGTGGCCGGTTCTCCGTGGATGGGAGTCACCTCTCCTGCTGGCCACTCGCTTTTGTACCCAAAGCACTCAGAACAAGTCCTTCGCACCACCACCACCACCACCTCTTCCAGGTGACTGCTGACCTGGGTCCTCGCCCCCTGTCTCTTCTCCCAGCCTACATTCTGTCAGCTACCCCAGTCACAGGTGTGGACTGTTGCTTTCTTACCTCTGTTTAACCCCCATTTTTGCCAAAGAGGTCTCTTTTCCCTGATTTCATAAGCCAGCCAAGCTCTCTGGAGAATATGCACAAAGATGTAAAGATGAACATTGTATTTCCCCCAAATCCCACTCAGAGATAAGTTGTGGGCTTGGTCCCTTCCCTCCATGAAGATGGAGTGTCCCAGGCTGGCACAATTAGAATCTCTGAGTCATCTGCTTGATTTATTACACTGGCCTGAAACACTCATATTCCCGACTCCCCTCTCCCACAACTCTCGTTCTATTTGAGACAGGGGGGAAAAGTCAGAGCACATTTAAGGACATTAGAATGGATCTGTGCAGGAAAAGTATGTCCTTCTGCGTCGGCCCAGCACACGGTGATCATTTCCCCCACACGGAGCTTGTGGGGTCGAGTGAGAGAAAGAAGGACACCCTTTGGCCCCATTGCGTTCCTGTGGAATCGTTTTCTAAAGCAAGCGCAGTCCCCGACCCCACTTCAGGGCTCATAGTTGGTAAGAGTTTCCCTTGGCACCCTTCCATGTTGCGGGTGATATTTCCACCTGCCTCCGAGGCTGCAGTCGGGAACAGTGTGGGATAATTACATGCCATCCCCACCTGGGGTAGCTTAATCAGATCTCCATTATCTCCACTGTGCTTATTGAACGACCGCATGGGGCTGAAAGAAGCCAGCAGATGATCGATGGGCCTAGTTGGCATCGAGCACAGTAGCTACTCTCTCTGCTTGGGTCATTAGTGGGTGGGGACATGCAGGGGCTCTTTACTTTGAGTCTCCAAGTGGTCTTAAGGGAAGAAAGGTAGGCCAGGAAAATTTTCCTAAGGGAGGCCCCAACGCTCCTTCCTTACCTGTTGGCCAGTGCTCGCTTGACTTTCTCATCCTGACCTACTACCCCACTGGTTCTCAACCTTCCTAATGCCACGACCCTTTAATACGGTTCCCCATGTTGTGGTGACCCCAACCATAAAATTATTTTCATTGCTACTATGATTTTGCTGCTGTTATGAATAAGGCGACCGCTGTGGAAGGGTCATTCGACCCCCAAAGGGGTCTTGACCCACAGGATGAGAACCAATGTCCTACCCATTGAGCAAACCACCAGGGCCACCACTTTCTTCCACTAAGAGTTTCTTATCACTGCTGCCGGGTGCCATCAAGTCATTTCTGACTCACAGTGACTCTGAGAACAACCTGGTGAAGGACGGCCCAGCCCAAAGCCTCCTGACAACCAGTACTGGTGTTGGATCCAGTGTGGGAGCCATTGCGTCGAGCCATATCCTTGAGAAGGGCCCTCCTCCTTGTCACCGACCCTCTGCTTTACCAGCCAGGGCGCCCTTCCCCAGGAGCTGGTCCTTCTTCACACTACCACCCGAGTAGGTGAGATGAAGTCTTGCCACCCTCACTCTTCAAGTACATTCTGATTAATAATCGTTTGCTACAGAATATTTTAAAACTTGAAATAAGCATGAAGAAATTCACTTTTTTCCACCACCAAAGGGTAGATATTGTTAATATGTTGGTATATACCCACATATACTATTGTGTGTGTGTGTGTGTGTGTGTATGCATACCATTATATATACAGAGATACAGATAAGCACAAACACTGGCCATTTTGTATATATGGATTCCTGGGGGTGCAGGGGTTAAGAGCGCCTCTGTTAACCAAAAGGTGTGTGAGATTTGAACCTGCCCACTCTCCTGCAGAAGAAAGAAATGACCATGTGCCTCTGTAAAGATAGACAGCCTTGAAAACCCATGGGGCATTTTGCTTCTGCCCTGTTGGGCCACTATGAGTCGGAATTAACTCAACAGCAGAGTTTGTTTTTTAATATACACAAGTAGATATGAAAGTCTGTGGGAAAATGGAATGAAGAATAGTAGAAATTTTCCATGACCTTTTTGAAGCCCCCTTGTGTGTACGTATATATATAGTTACAGTTATATTCATACACATTTGTAATAATTATAAATTCAGTATGCATATGTATATGTGAGTATGTATGGTTATCTGTCAGCATTCCCCAAATCTGTACTCTCTTCCACAGCTTTCTGCTAGGATGCCCTTCTTCCTTTTTCATTTTTCAAAAGCCACTTTCAGTTTGAAACCACCAGCCATTCTGCAGGAGAAAGATGAAGCTTTCTACTCCCACAAAGAGTTACAGCCTTGGAAACCCACAGGGGCAGTTCTACCCTGTCCTATAGGGTGGCTGTAAATCAGAATCAACTCACTGGCAGACTTTTTCTTGAAGACCCAGCTAGAATGTTTGTGAATGTCTTCCTCTGTGACCCCAGAGTCCATGTGCAACCAAAGATGGCCTCAGACTGGTAGTGGTACCTACCTAATACAGCCGATAGCACGCGTAGAATTCTCCATTTCAATCTTGACCTTAACTGACGGACGTCAAAGAACTAGCAAGGGATAGTTAAGAGTGATCCGTGACAAGTCTGGCAAATGGAATCATAAGTGGCCAATTCAACAAGGTGGAACGTGTGTGGACTCAGATGGACCTAGATTTTGACCTTCGCTTTTAGCAGTTAGGGCGCTTACTTAGGCTCTCTGAGCTGTCATTTCTCATCCACAGTGTGTGCTCAGCTTTCCCGTTGATCCCTGTGGCTGGGAAGGCAGAGTCAAGGAGATGTCAGAGGACCAAGGAACATGGCCATGCCCGGCTCTCACAGTGGGTGCTGGACCAGTCATGCCTGTGCTTTCACGCCCATCTGCAAAGAAAATTAGTCCTGAGAAGTTACTTACTCATTGAGCCTTTTCCGACCAGAGGACTGGAAGGGGAAAAGATAATAGATTTAACCTTTTCTCTGCTTTGGAGAAGTTGTAAGTTTGGCCCTGAGGGCACAGCTGATGTTCTGAAGGCATTATTCACATAGCCAGCTATTCACAGATGTTAGGGGCTCTCTCTCTCTCTCTCTCTCTCTCTCTCACACACACACACACACACACACCATGCTCAGATCTCTACTCCAGTATTCACACTAGCTAATGGATATAGACCTTGCATTTTTTCATCTCCCAAATGGAGAAAATAGCAGTACCTTCCTGATCTGATTAGTGTCACATAACAAACTCCTCAGCACCTAAAGCAAAACTCCGTGCTCACTGTCCTCAAATCGATGCCAGCTCATGGAATGGAAGATGCAATAGGACTGCCGCTATGGGTTGCTGAGACTGGAACTCTTTATGAGAATAGAAAGCTTCATCTTTCTTCCTTGGAGCAGCTGGTGGTTTTGAACTGCTAACCTTGTGGTTAGCAGCCCAACAGGTAACCTACTACCATTCAATTATGCTCCATAATTTTATGAGTCATTTAGGAAGTGCTCAAAAAACTCACTATCAAGTCAATCCAGACTAACAGAGACCTTCCAGGATAGAGTTGTACTGCCGCTGTGGGTTTCCAAAAGTGTAAATCCTTATGGGAGTAGAAAGTCTCATCTCTGTCCCATGAAGTAGTTTCAAATTGCTAACCTTGTAGTTAACAGCCAACTCATAATGCCCTATACTGGTGGTATTTGCTGGCAGAAAAGCTCGTATAGAGAATCCAATATGGTGTCACTCATATGCTGGACACCTTGGCAGGGTAGAAATGGCTAGGGAGCATCCTTGCCCTCTTGGCTGTAGTCTCTGAACTACACATGTTCTTCCAGCAGGGTGGTTTTACCTTATAATTGGTTGCTCAGGCTTCTTACACTAGTATGAAGCTGTTAACCTTTCTAAATATTTGCCAATAGAAATATTTCAAAAGTCTTTCAATTGGTCAAAGTAGGAACAGTCAGCCAAGTTAAAGGGGCAGGGTTACAGACCCCACGTCTCAATGGGAGCAGTGTCCAATAATCTGTGGTCATCTTTAATCCACCACACTGTCTTATAAGGACCATTCAAACACTCACGCAAGAAAAGTGCCTGAAAATGTCTTTGCACGCAGTAGATGTTCAATTACTTATGTAGTACTTGCCATTCAATAACTATTTGTGGAATGCCCACTATGAGCCTAGCAGCTAAAACATAGGACAGGAGGCTCTTGTGTTGTGACAGTGTAAGTGCTATGATAAGGAAGATGCCTGTGTTTCAGATGTCTCCTGCTAGCCAGCCCACTCCCCAGGGCTGGCCATATGATGGGTGCTTAGTAGATATTAGCACACAGGCAAGATAAAATGAACGAATGACAGAACAAATGCATGGATACATACACTCCAGTGAGACTTGAGGAGGGACAAGGGAAAGCTTCCCCAGGGGCCTGGGGGGTGTGAGCTGAGAGTCGGAGGGAAAGCCTGAGCCCTGGCGTGTGCAGGAGGAGAGGAAGGCACGTCCTGAACTACGGCCTAGATTGGTGGCAGAAACACTCTTTGCAGACCCCACTGAATGGGGAACCTCC